TTGAGAGACAGTATAGGAAATGTTAAAAGCCGATTGGAAGACGACACGAGTGAACGCTAAGAGGATATTTTGTATCAAAATCCACGGAGGACATGATGCCAATCTGTAATAGTTGTTGAGAGTGTGCTGCCAAAGATGGCAATGTGATGACAGGGTGCGCAAGTGGGGACCTCAGGGTGTTAAGTTAACATTTAGGGGAATTGTTCGATGCGGTAGGTTTAGGCTTTTTGGATCTGGGACGATGGCGGTAAGACAGCTAATGGGGACTTGGATATTCATACTAACAGTTTCACCTTGGAAGAGGTCCAACGACTAGTGGATCCCGCGTTTTTGGTAACGATAGCGGAGACGAATGAAGAGGAAAATCGTTTTCGTTAGTCTTTTCTTATACAAGATTTGCAATAACCTAGTTGTATTAACTGATGATACCGTATACTATTTTGACTCTTTTCATGTTTTTCTTTCCAATTGTGTTCTCTTACATTACATACGCTCTCCAAAGTTTATTTCATCAAGAAATACATAATAAGTAACAAAAAAGAGCGACAATGGAAGTTTCAAGCTCTAGTTTTTATAGTTCTGTAACTGAATTACATAAAACCGTGGGTCAATTTTGGCCGAGCCTGCTAAAAGTACAGACGGAACAAAAATTCGAATCATTTCGTTATCCGATATGAATACCTCCTAAACCGTACAATGCTTGGCAACATGGTACGTTTCGCCCATTGTGCGTTGGATTTCCGCCAAAGAAAGATGCTTATCATTGGTTATCCTTGGCTTTAGGTTGGGGGTAATTCATCATGATAACTAAAAATAACTTAAATAAACGGAATAATCTCTTGTGTCAATGGATTTGCGTATGAGCTTGGCATCAATCTCTCGTAATTAAAAGAGCGTGATGAGAATCGCGGCAAAAAAGCAGATGCCTGTTTATGCAGGAAAAGCGGCCGATAAACACACGATTATAATAATAAAAGCGGGCAAAAAAGAATCTGATTGTTTGCAAAGTGATGTCACAGTCCAGCAGCCCCGAATAAAGATATAATAATAATAGGAGATTATTATGGTCACAACTCGAGATTACAATATTAATATGGTAATATCTGATGTCGAGCACCGGGCCGTAATTACCGGACGTTCCGTGTGTCGCACGAAAGTCTAATTTACGTTTAGCGACATATCTTTTGTAAAACATAATACTTTGACAAAAAGGTATCATTGTTCGCACGTAGGTCTCCGTGGTCCGTATGTCCGGGGAAGGGCGCCTAATCGCAACCGACAATGCGACATTACAATCAGAGAGAAGAAGGATGCAGTCATGTCGAGCAACAATACGCACATCATGTTGCGCGAAACAAAAAAAAAGAGTCGAAAGGCATACACAGAGAAAACCGAACTGATAGAGTAATAATTATTGGAGCAAATACGGTTCATTTATTGGAGCGCTTTAACGATGAGCCAACGAATTATGTGGATAGATTAAAAAAAATTTTTTCTTTTCTTTTGTTCAGTGGGTTGCGTTTGCCATTGCGTAATCTGAGGGTTTGTGAAACAAATTATGCATGTTTTCTCACTAATGACAAATCACGGAGTAACGTAACCATTTATCCCGTAAACAAACTAAACCAAATCACACACACTTGTAACCATGTAAAAAAACCTGTAATATCGAATTTCTCAGCTGAGAATCCATGTCCCGGAAGATATGGAACCAGAAAGCGGTGGCGCAAAATGAGAGAGGGGAATATAAAAATACACGGAAAACCTGAGGAGAGACTTGGTATTTTTGATCGCCGATTTTCTGTATTCAAGATTTTGTCGATTTGATTGTGATCAGCAGTAGCCATAAGAAATTTAAAACGTTCCAGAACCCTTTTCAGGTAACCGTTTATGGAATAGAATAGCAAATTTTAGAGTACTAAAATACACAAGTTCATTACACGTAGCTTTGATATCAGTGGTTTATGTTATGTTGGCATTGCAATTTTGAAAGAATATGATTGGTCAAGACAAGAATGGACGTAAAATTTGGATAAGACGTTAATTTACACTTTATGCTTGCTTTGTGGTGTAATTAATATTGGCAGTCTGAGAAAATGTCTTTTGAGCGTGTGTCTAACATTATCAGGACCGATCATATTGACTGATTGGTTTGCTATCGAACTATTCAAATTGCTGCATATAACATGTGCTGGTGGAGCGTACGCGCATGATTTGAGCTCCATGTAAAAATTCATTTTTATTCAGTGGACCGATTATGCGTCAGTTGGCGAAAGTTTTTAATAAAATAATAAATAAAATAGATTCTGTGGAAGGGCTATGCGACAGTTGGCAAAGTATGATTGGAATTACATATTATTACACGTTCTATATTAGCTTAGCCGCATAAATATTGTGTTTCAATGTTGACGCACAGTCAACCAAACCAAATCTTATTTTGGCATCTCCTTGTAAACAAGTTATTGTCTTGGATATCAGCTGATTACGCTTTTTGTTTACATCAACCGGTTTGTGATAAAACCTGTTGGGGTAAATAATTAATTGAAGAGCACATTATTAATACGTTTAAACATTGTTATTATTGTTGTTGTTGTTGTGGTGGTGGTGGTGGTTTTTGTGGTAATGGTTGTGGTAATGGTAATGGTTGTGGTAGTGGCGTAGCGGTGGTGGTAGTTGTTGGGATAGTAGTTGTTGGGATGGTAGTTGTTGGGATGGTAGTTGTTGGGATGGTAGTTGTTTGTTACTATTACTACGCTATTATTATTAAGACTGCTATTATTATTATTACTACTGCTATCGTTTTTATAATTATTACAATAATAATTATATTATTGTTATTATTACAGTTATTGTTCAGTTATTATTAAGTTATTGTTACAGTTATTGTTACTAACTATTGTTACTAATTATTCTTATCGTCAAATAAATTTATAAACCAGATCTTTGTCTTTTTTCTTCACATGGATCGAGTCCTATCTTCTTGTTTGTTAATAATGGTAATGCTCGAATACATATCTTTACAACTCCGACGTGAAATCTGCAATAATTGTATAACAGGTAACAGTCTACTGCATAAAAAATGTCGATTTGCATAACCGACGAGTATACGCAGTACGACTCTTTATACGGTCCAGTTACTTACGTAAGCGACTGAAAATTTTGCATTCCTATATATTTATCGATTCTTATGTATTTTATATACGCGTCCTTCTTTAAAATCGATCAAGTTTGTTGCCATGCACCGTGACAGTGGTACTGTCCATTTTAAATGTTGATGTAACGTCAGTGTGTAACCACACTCTATTTAGTTAGATGTCCATGAACTTTACTTTATCTCTTATCTCTTGTTATGCCGACTATTAAACAGATTGCTGTCATGTCTAAATAAGGCAACACATCATTTAAACTTGTGGATAGCTTATAGTAATAGTGACAGTTAGTTTTTAATATTAAGGGAACCCCCGAATAAATACCAGCATGTGCGACTCGGCAATTCGGTAGAATCCGTCCGATATTGAGCGAGTAAAGAAAAAAAAACCTTTCAATTACAGTATAACACAAATGTGTCAATCTTGGCTGTTGACTGTAAGAACAGAAGCTTACGCCATATCGGTTATTACTATATTCAACCACTTTTACATCCTTTCCTATTTCCTAGTTTGGAGTCGAGCATGTTGTATTTTCGGTTATTCAGTCTGTTTATGCTTAGCACGTGCACAGTTACAAATGACCAAATTTATAACCTTTCATCATGGAAAATTGGTAGAGTAATAAAGATAATATTTATTACCATTTATAGATCGTGGATTTTTGTTTGTCAATGTTTGTTTGTTCGTCAAAGGTCTTAGCGGAATATCGATTAGAATATATCGATTAGAATATATCGAGTGGAATCGCAATGGCAATGGGAATGGGAATGGGAATGGCAATGGAATAACCTCACATTTCAAGTAAAAGGGACAGCTTCACGTGAGGATTAAAGTTTCTCACAACACAAAGATGTCGGAAAATTCTAGTTCAAATCAATGTCACGATAATGCAAGTCTTCTGCATATGATACAGTAACTGAAAAGTACAGTATAACCTATCACACAAAAGCAAGTATGGAACCACTCGTTTTCATGCGAATCAAATGGAAGTACCCCTCTCCCATATTTAACGAAACATCGGTTCGAAAACACGAATAAAGTGCAAGTACAAAAGTACGATACAGATAACGGATTTGCTACTTTCATTTGGGTATATCGTTGGGGGGAGAGTCCAAAACACAGGTACGGCATCTTGCTGGGTAGTCAGCCTGCACATACCCTGTCTGGCCTCCTATCTCTGTATCCAATCGAAACAAACTCGAAAGTAGGAGCCGCCAATATTCTAAATGCGGTAATGTCATTTTATTTTCCTTTATATTATACAATTCATTTATTTAGCATATATACATATAAATACGCTGTACATCATATATTGTAATCTCTTTCATATTATGTAAATATTTGTGTTTAGGTATTACGTAATAAGCACCAGGGTCTGTCCACCTATTAAAGAATGCTTGCATGGAAAAAGCATACACTGTATATTGTTATTTATTTTACTAGTTTGTCTCGTCAACTATAAAAAGGATCAGCCCTTTCGCTCTATCTGCGGCTTACTCGAGTTTTTGTTGATTACACCCTTTTATTACTCTTTTATTACCCTTCTACCCCTCCCTCATTAAACACGAAGGAAAAATATACATTATACAGCCTTTATAATATTAGCATCGCATACAGTCATATCAAACCCTTGTCTTTATTACACCTGCATACTCAAACAAATAATAAGCAGCATTCGCTTACTGGAGAAGCCTATTACGAATACAATTACGTACTAAAATAATTTCAAGTAATATAGAGTAAACCTTAAACAGCATAACCGATACATAATACCAAACCCTGCACTCGAGAATTACTCATCACACACAACTAAATCTCATACACAAAAAACACTTGTAATTTACATTCACAATGTCAAGCGACGATATCATGATAAAAAGGCGCCGTGTTGCAAGAGCATGCGATACCTGTCGAAGAAAAAAAGTCAGATGCGATGGGGTACAACCTGGATCCGATCCACCCTCATGTACTAATTGTAAGGCATACGGATATGAGTGGTGAGTGAGTGAGTGAGTGAGTGAGTGAGTGAAAGTGGAGAGAGGGTGATTGATTTATTGGTTGATTGAAATGAACGAGCGATAGTCATGTTGGATCTTTTGATCCGATATCTATTAAACTGTGGTCTGCGTGTTAATGTTTGTAAAGTGTGCATCGACCTCGAATCAAGATGGATTGCAACACCCTAGTATAAAAATCCTTTAATTTATTATTGTATGATTTCCACACGATATCATTTCGCGATCGCGTTTTCCCAATGATCGTATTCCCACCACTCCTAGTTCGTTCATCGACGCACCCAAAAAACGTGGTCCACCCAAAGGCTACATCGAAGCACTCGAAACCCGTTTAAAACGTATGGAATCGATACTCGGCGGCCTAGTACAATCGGGCGAACTTCCCGAAGGTTCCGTCTCGTCCAGTACCCTCGAATGGATCAACGTTAGCGAACAAAATTTCGCATCGGGAACCTCGGTTCGAAGAGAAGGTGAAAGTGGTGGCGGTGGAACATCACCCCACCAATTCCTCGGCTCGTCGCGAACGAGTAATGCATCCGAAAGCATATTGTATAAATCAAATCATTCAAGCGATAGCGAAGAAAATCGTTCTTCGGGCTCGAGAGAGGATGAATCAACTAGTTACGATCTTAACGACTCGATGGGTCAACTGGCCATTGATGAAAATGGCGAAACGAGATACTTGGGCAATAGCTCTGGCATATTTCTTTTAAGGATTACCAAGAATATAGCCGATGGTCAGTTGCTTAACGTATCGAGAAGCGATTGGCACGTACACGAGCCTGAGGAAATAAAGAACAAACGACCAATCGAAATCGCTTTACCTTCGCGGGAATTATGCGATGAATTGGTCGATACATATTTCCAAGAAATTCATCCATGCATTCCATTCATCGATAAGACTGACTTTATGGAAAAGTACAAGGATTTGGAGAACAACCCTCAGGTTCTAGGTTTATTGTTTGCTATAATGTCAGTTGCGGCTCGACAGATCGATCGACCGTCTGTCAGACTGCATCCCGACGAACCATCTACAGCAGGTATGAATAATAATGGTTAAATTTCAAGGAATATTTCATTATTTAACACTTTTTCTCCATTTGCCTGTCTATCAGGAGATCAATTTTTTTACAGAGCAAAAGAGCTCCTCGCGGACGACTTTGACGAATCAAACATAATTACCTTGCAAGCACTTTTAGTCATGGCCATGAACCAACAAGGAAAAAAGAACTCTCGTTGCTGGCTATATACCGGCATGGCTATTAGAATGGCTCAAGATATGGGATTACACAGGGATTCTTCAAAGTGGAATTTAGATGCTAGGCAAGCGGAAATTAGAAAAAGATTATGGTGGGCCTGTTTCATGAGTGATCGCATCGTATCGGCTGGATTAGGTCGGGTGAGTAAAAATAAAAACGTCTAGTGGTGCATACAGCAGAGATCCCCAAGCTGTTTAATTAACCCCCTAATTTTCCCCTTTCCTCCCCTTTCAGCCTGTAGTAATTCAAGAACAAGACTTTGACGCACCTCTACCCATTGCCGGCGCACTCGCCGAAGACGATCCGGCCGTGATCGAAACATGGGTAAAAACCATACAACTCACAGCAATCCTTGGCCGTGTAATTCAACACGTCTATTGTATAAAATCAAAGCCCATCTCGTCACCAAATTGCGAGTCGATTCTTGCCGAGTTGGACAGAGAATTAAACGAGTGGCTAGACTCGTTACCGGAATACTTGAGATACGAACCGTCCATGTCATTTGTGGACCCCAAGAATCAGAAGCGGGCATTTTTCCATTTACTATTTTATACCATTCAGATTTTGTTACATCGACCGCATATCAAGGGACCACGATCAAAGGGACCACCGAGTTCTATCCCATCTTTGACGATATGTACCAGGGCCGCCAATAACATTACGCATATTTCATATAGAACGATGAAGGAGGGTGGTTTGAAAGTTAACTGGACACATAATCTGTATTTCTTCTTTACGGCTACGGTTATGCACGTAATTAATGCGTTGAGTGGCGATGAGCGATTTAGAGAAGTTGCAAAGCAAGGTTTGCGCATGTCGCTCAAGTGTCTCGAGACATTAGGGCCATTCTGGTGTACTGCAGGCAAGTGCGTACTCATGATACGTGATCTTCTCAAACGACGAGGAATCGACCTTGACGGCCACGACGGAAAAGCCTATACACCGAGCGAGTCTATGAGACCATCAAGCCTTTGCACAATGAGCAGTCGTCCTTACGAACCACCGGCATCTAATCGTACAATTACATTTGCTCCATCACAATCTGCTCAATTACAATCAGCTCAACCGCCGCCTACGCCCACCGTCCCGTCGTCAACAGCCGATTTCGACATGGCTCAACAGATGGTGGCAGAAATTAGCAGTAATGCCAACTATTCTCCATCGTCGGCTTCGTCGGGATCGCCGAATTTTGTAAATTTCGGTGAATTTTTATCAAGCGATACTTCTGATGTATTCTTTCCGCCAAACGCAGATGCATTTGCTGTGGACGTGTCGAGCTTTATTTTCGATGAAGAGGACCCAATGGGAAATGGGAATCCTTTCTGGACCATTCCGTCTTCGTATGATCTTAATGATTGGTCGGAATATATTAGAGGAGTCACAGGGTTGGGATTGGGAAGCGATGTTACAAGTGCTACTGTTGGAGAAACAAATGTTGGCGCTGCAGTGTCAAACCCATCACAGCCGCGGCAGCAGCAACAACAACAGCAACAACAGCAACAACAGCAACAACAGCAACAACGACAACAACAACAACAACAACAACGGCCGCAGAATCAAGGAGCCATTGATATGGCTATCTCACGGGGGTTTTGATAGAAGTGTTGGAGAGTGCAAGGAGGAGATTGTAAAAGACAAATGGAACAAATGGTTTTGAAATGGGGGAATTTCGCTTTCAAGATTACTTGTATTTCATATGTCCTTTCCCCATTATTTATTTTATTTCCCTCCCCTCCTACCTTTGTAATTAGAATTTTTGTCTGTGTGACGAATTTCGCCTTTATTGTAAATAGAGAATTTATCTTTAAAGAAAATATCTATTAAAATAGTCTCTAAACCTTGACATTAAACGATTGAAATAATAAAACATCAAAAACCTGCAATTGAAATAGATATCAGAAGTATGTTGTGATGTGTCTAATACTAACGCGAAAAAGACCTTGATGTGAGTCATGAGATGGCCGCATTGACAATGAGCAGAAACTAATATGGAACAGTCGACGGAAGTTAGTTTTCGCATAACCTAATTCTTCTTCTCGGAACCTGCATAGATCGACCTTTAACGCTCAGAGCATGTGGTGCATAATGTAGCATTGTATTGATCATCAGGAGTTTAATTTTATTAAGCAACTAGCGTCGGCCGAGTTGTCATAATGCTATCGATTCGGCCGGGTTTAATTTCCTTAAGGTTTGCATCGCCTTTACAAATACCGGCCGTATGAGATTGATTTCCATGTAGCTAAGGTTGTTTGTCTTAAACAGTCTTTGTGAATATCGAATTCATAAAGGATTCAGTCCAACAAACAAGTTTTCTCACCTGCAAATGATGAGGATTGAGTTCCGATACACCGCGACGCATTTTTTCCCATCGAATTTCTTTGAGACGTTGTAGACTTTTTTTGATTTCTTCTAGATTTGGGATATCTTGGCCCGTTCTACGAAATGGAAATGATGATAATTACTACGTGAAAGAACTAACCGTTACCAAGAACTGAATCAAGCATCTGATGCCCACACGCATTCTCTTACTTTTCGATAAGAATTTTGGATATCACCATCCAATGGGGATGAATCGGGCTAAAGACTCCCTCGAATCTCTGTTCTTCTTCCACGCTCTTTGCCAACGCCTCTGTAGACAAAAGAAGAAGAAAAAGTTTCTAGTGTATTGTTTTCCGACACTCTTTCCACGTTCAATGCACAAACCAGCAGTCATCCATTCCGGTAATAGAATCCTTCCTCGATCGTGTTCGTAAAGACACAGAGCAAGCCATAATGGAACATATGTTTTACGTGGCGGAGCAAAAGGCCCGTATGTTCCCTAATCATTGGAATTGGAATTTCAATGAGAAACGTATTGATCCTTCTTTTAAAGGTGAAACAAATGGCGAGGAATAACGCGCATACACATATGAGTTTGACGACTGGCAAAGCAGACGTCGGTTCGAAGCGTACGAGTGATTGTGTAGCTAGGAATTCAAGCTCTGAAAGTGCATATGAATACTCTTGTATAGTTGGGATTTGGTTATCGAGTTTTATGTGAACGGGTTCGGGTATGTCGTTTGCTAAAACCATTTTGTGAAATGTTATAAAATCGAAGCGCGTCCCATTCTTGTGAATGCGTGTCATGTGATACTCAGTAACTAGGAAGGAAGCACACTTATAATTTGCATTCCCATCGCCGTTGTCGTCGCAGCCACTAACACAGTTGGATCAACACGTATCAATGACACTCGACTTTAATACGTACCTACTGTATAATAATAACAATTTATTACAATCGTGCATTCTATAGAAATTGCAATACAGATTAAAGTGTACGTGAAAGTGCAATTGTCTAATTAATTTTTTGGACATAACATAATTACCAGTTTCGACATTCGATTATTTTTCCCATTTGGGTAAATTCGTGACTCAATCTCTGTAATACTATTGGTTGACATACGATGCCGTAACAAAAGAATCTCATTCAGCATTTCATGTTTATTTTGAACTAGCTCTAGCTGAAATCTGATAAGGGAGGTAACTGATGAGAATTATTTCTTGGTTTAGGCAGATCTCCAGTAGGTAAGAGCATACTAGAATATTTACTCTCCTTCTCGAGGTTTTACATCATTATGGTAAACGGCATTCCACGTGTTGTCACTATACACATTGTTAAGAATCCCGCGAATATCAGTATAAAGTGTGTCTGCATCTGGACGCTTATCAGGATCAGCATCACAACACCGCTCGGCAAGTTTCTTGTATTCCTCTGGT